TAAAGTAAAAGGAGAACTAAATATGGGGTGATATTTTGGGGATAATATTGCAATTAAATGTGGACCTAATTAATGGAATAGAGGAATGGAGTCCTGGTGTGGCACTGGGTTAATGCGTTGGGCTGCAAAGTTGGGTTGAACCACAAGGTTGGCAGTTCAAGTTCACCAGTCGCTCCTTGGAAACCCTATACAGGTTCACTATGGGTTGGAACTGACTCGATGGCACTTAACAACAATAAAAATTAATAGAATGGAGTCCTATGTGGTGTGTAGGATAAGCACTGGACTGCAAGGTCGGTTTGAACTACAAGGTCGGCAGTTCAAACTTCCTAGCTGCATCTCTGAAAATCCTCACTATGCCTGGCGGTCGCCATGACTCCTCTCTGTTGGCAGTAAACAACACTGATAGAATGGAGTATTGTCGTCTTCTTATTCTACCACAAATTTCAAGAGGACTGTGTTCCTCTCACACCCAGAACTCAGCTTTTAGGACAATTTAGTTTATCAGGAAAGAAGATTACAGTTCATCCTTGGAGCCAAAGGTGATCAAATTAGGGTCTTGTTGGAGCCCTGATTTTGTTTCTGATTTTCCCTTCTGTTTTGTCTGGGTGGTACCAATGGTTTCTCCCCTGCAGTTGGCTTTTTCAGGGGTCAGTGGCCTCTTTCACAGTTTCTAAAAAAGGTTGTTACCATTTAAAGAGGTCAGATCTTCCCAATCCACAATGCTTATACCTTTGCATTTCCTCTCTTCTACCAGCTACTGTGTAATGGTAAGCACACCTTCATTACATATGTGAGTTTCTAAAGCACTTGAATTCAGTGTTCAGTAGGAACACAGAAGAGGCAGAAATCAGTTTATAAAGTACTTTAAAAATCCCATGACATCATCAGCCAAGGGTTTATCTAGATGAATTGCTTACATATATGAATTTTATTTTTTAAGATGGATTGGGATATCTAGATTATTTTGAGTATGGCACTGCAGGATAATGCACTGGACCCTAAGGTTGGTTTGAACGAAAGGTCGGTGGTTCAAATTCACTACCTGCTCTTCGGAAACCCTATATAGAGTCACTATGAGTCAGAACCCACTGGATGGCATAATTTTTTAACAACGTGATTTCTGATAGACAGGAAGAACATGGTTGTGCCAATATCATTGAATATCTAGAGATTGAAATTGATTTCTTTATCTGAAAAGGCATCTCTATCAAAATCAAGTCGAATTTTTAGAGATTGGAATTGAAATGACTTGTTTACCGAAAATGCTGTTATAAACAGCAATGATCTTTGGAGGAAATATCCTTTAGTTCTTCACAGCTAGAGTTACTCATTGCAGTGAAAATGTTAATTTTTCAGAAAAGGAAAAAAAAGCAGAAAGATTAGATGCCAGGAATTCAAGTAAAGCATTCTGGGGCCTAGTATTTGTATTTAGTATTGAAATACCAAAATGTTATTTTTCTGTGGTTAGTGTTATCACTAATGTCTATTTTTAAATGGCACAATGCATGTACTTCAAATGTCAATTTCCTTATTTATTTATGTCGTGGGTGACCTCCAGTGTATTAAGTGGGGTCGGAATCTAAAGGACTCCGGATCTTGCTTTATGAGATATGCAAGACTACTGTGGGTTAAATTGGCTCTATAGCCCTGGTGTGGCACCATAGGATAATTACTGGACCTCAAGGTTGGCGGTTCAAACTCACTAGCCACTCCTTGGAAACCCTGTACTATACGAGGTTGCTATTAGTTGGAACCTATTCGATGACACTTAACAACAGCAATAATAATAACTAGATTTATTTTATAATTTGTTATATTCTGGAGTTGTAAATGACTTTTTTTTTTTTTAAGTGCCTATTACTTAGCATGAGTCCAGGTGTGGGTTAATGTACTGGACTGCAAAGTCAGTGGTTCAAGCTTACCAGCTGCTCTTCAGAAACCCTATACAGGGTCGCTAGGAGTCGTAACTGACTCATAGCATGGACTCTCCTGGTGTGGCACTGTGGGATAAAGCACTGGACCGCAAGGTCATTTTGAACCACAAGGTCGGTGGTTCAAACTCACCAGCTGCTTCTCGGGAACCCTATACAAGGTCGCTATGAATGTGACAGCACATAACAACAATGACAACATTACATAGATTAGAGTCTTTGCTTGAACCCTTTGTTATAGCATTAATACACAATATTGGAATCCTGGTTTGGTGCTGTAGGATCAGCACCGCAATGTTGGTGGTTCAAACCCACCAGCCGCTCCTTGAAACCCTATACAGGGTTGCTATGAGACAGAACTGACACCACAGCACTTACAACAAATTTACATAGCACTGTGCTAATAAGCCTTTACACACATCATCTTGTTGTATCCTCATGGTAACCTAATTAGGCTGGTAATGTTTGCTATGCAATTACACAAAAGGAAACTCAGGTATAGAGAGATCAATGAATTTGTCAATATCACACAGCTAATAATGTTTCTGAGCTACACACTGAACACAAAATCTACAACTTCCAAAGTCCATCTTATTACACCCCTCTTGAACGCAGTCAGATGCCTTACAAACGAATCCAGTGGTACTAGATGTCTATTTCCTTGTTCAAGGAGTCCATTGAAAGCGACCTCCTTTCAGGTGAAGAAGCTTTTGACTCTGAAGTTAAGTCGTTTGCTTAAGGACACAGAGCTGGTGATCTCACTTTTAAATTCAGGGGTCTCTGATCTTAGATCATCTTTAGCCACTAGATGAGTCACTCCCAAGATTATCTGGATGAATTATACAAAATAAGGTATAGAAAAGGGTTGTTTTTATTTTACCAACTATTAAGAAAAAATAAGACTATCCTCCACCCTTACAGAAAACAACCACTTTTAATTACTTTTTTAGGAAGGCTATTTTGATGGTGGAGACCTGGTGTGGCCTTATGGGTTAATGAACTGAACTGCAAGGTTGATTTGAATCACAAAAATAGGTGGTTCAAGCTCATTAACCGCTCATTGGAAACTATACAGTTTTGCTATGAGCGGGACCCACTCTATAACACTTAAAAACAATAATTTTTAATGGTACGAAATAGGAAGAAATAATTTCAGAATAAAGAAATTGTTTAAAATGAATATATTTAATTTACATTGCCCGGTGTTTTTTTTTTTTCCCATTTTGCCATAGACTTGAAAATCTGGCCACTGACCAGATTTTTGTTTTTTTTTTAACCACTGACCAGTTTTTGGTAACCATTTTCCTACACCACGCTTTCTTGAAAATTCAAGAACTTGTTTGCTATTAAAGAATCCTCAGTTCTTGTTTCTGTGATCTTTAGAAACTATTGGCACATTACTATCTTGGTCTTTCCATTCTGTTTTTATCACAGTTTGTCTTTGTCTTACAGCTAGGTCTTACTTAGGGTCGGGGTACACAGTCAGAGGAGTCCTGGTGTGGCGCTGTGGGTTAATGCACCAGATGGCAAAGCCATTTAAACTGCACGATTAGCGGTTCTAGCTCACCAGTCACTCATTGGAAACCCTATACGGGGTCTCTATGAGTTGGAACCAACTCAACAGCACTTAACAACAACACAGTCAGAGGAGCAATGCAAACCCAATTAGTGATGGTTCTTAGTCAGTCCCCTTTCATTTGTTCTTTTCTTACTTATCTTTCAAATAATAGTTACCTGCCTAGTGCACTTCACTGTTCTAATAACCTTATTTCCTCCTTATTTCTAATTCCCTTGCCTAGGCATTCACCATGAGACTTTCGGGACCCTTGGTAGAAGGCATTTTAGAACAAGTAGTCTTTGGATTAAGTCAGGTGAAAGAGAAAAGAGGGACATCATTTCTGGGAGTGGGCAGTGCCAATCAAAATGCTTTCCTTACACATAGTAGATTGTTGTTGTTAAGTGCTGTGGTGGTGGTAGTGGTAATGTGCCCTGGAATAGATTCCGACCCATAGCTACCCTGTACAGCGTTTCTGAGGCTGTAAATCTTTATGGGAGCAGAACAACTGGCAGTTTCGAACTGCTGTCCCTGAGGTTAGCAGCCCGATTTGTAATCACTACACTGAGAGCCCCTTGTTAAGTGCTGTAGAGTTGCAGATATTTGTTGGATTAATGTTATTAAGTGCCATCCTTCAAGTCAGTTCTGACACATAGTGACCCTATATACTAGGGCTTCCAAGGAGCAGCTGGTTGGGCCAATAAGGCTTCCAAAATTCAGTGCTATTTTTGTAAAAATGTGAAAAGTCCACGATTTATGGATTGTTAATTGGAATGTTATATTATTGTTGGATCTCCAGGGAGTTAAATTTCTTGGCTTATATAAGAAGTATAAATAAGCTTTTACCAGCTTTACTGTCAGACAGATGATATTTTTGCCTGTTTGGTGATGTGCTGAGGAAAGAGATAAAGAGATAATTCTTAAAAGTATATAAATTTGTAAAGATTTGGATTTATGCTTTAAAATACACAACTTAAGTTGTGGTTTCTAATGTAGAGAAATTCCCCATACCTTATTCAAAGAATAAATAATTCAGTTGTCACAGTCTAATGAAAGTATACACTAGTAGTTTTATGTTTACTATATCTTTGGAGTCCTGGTGTGGAACTGTGGGTTAATAAGCTGGACTACAAGGTCAATTTGAACTGCAAGGTCGGTGTTTCAAGCTCACCAGCCTCTCCTCGGAAACCCTATACAAGGTTGTTATGAGTTGGAACGGACTTGACGGCACTCAGCAACAATTATATCTTTATTTATTTACTTTTGCATTAAAAAGGCTCCGTCACGTAATTTTAATTAATAACTTCTGGCAAATACTGTATTTCAAATGGGAGAATGAATAGGAAAAAGACTCACTTTCATTGTGTTTTTTGTTGTTGTTATTTCAGACCAAAACCTTGATGTGACTGAGCACAACTGTGGAGCATCCAGATTCTCCTCAGAAGGGAGGCTTTCCAAAGGACCAATGACTCTGTGTCCCGTGGCCTTTCAGTTTTTCCTGCTCTGTAGCTATGTCTCGATCACGCCATGCAAGGCCTTCCAGGTTAGTCAGGAGAGAAGATTTAAGCAAAAAGAAAAACAACCAACTGAAGAAGACCTCCAATCCAAGCAACAAAAATGTGACATCAGTCAGGATGGTGAGCCCTGGAAAATTCAAGCAACTAATTCAAGAAAGAGATGTTAAGAAAAAAACAGAACCCAAACCCCACATGCCTGTCAGAAGCCTTCGGACAAGAGCTGGAGCGGCACGACTGAATTTGGAAAGGACTGAGGTTCTTTTTCAGAACCCTGAGTCCTTAACTTGCAATGGATTTACAATGGCTCTCAGAAGCACCTCTCTTAGCAGGCGTCTGTCTCAGCCTCCAGTGGTCATAACCAAACCTAAGAAAGTCCCACCTTGTAAGAGTTTAGAAAAACAACATGAGTGTGAGCGTAAAGTACTCACTAATGTGGGAGGAGTGAGACACTCAGAAAATCAGTCAGACCTAATGCAAGACCCCCCAGTCCCTCTTGACACTGAAAATCTAATTGGTGCACAAAATTCATCTTTAATTAAAGATGAGAGCCAAAACACAAGCCAGTCTTGGTCCCAAAGGGTTGAAGATACCAAAATAAACGTTGCCACTCACAGTGGCCCGGCAGCAGAGATCCATTCTAGGTCACTGGAAGAGACACATGCTGAAGAGCTACTCTCTGGAGAGTCATTAGATGATCTCAATGCCTACACTAGAATGTTTACTCAGGACACTCAGTGTGCTCCTTTGTCCCAAAGATCAATCTCCACAGTTACCTCTGAAAGAAACCCTTGTGTTCAGTTAGAAGACTTGGGTTCACGAGTAGAATCTCTTAAGCTCTCTGATTCTTACTTGGATCCCATCAAAAGTGAACATGCTTGTGATCCCTCCTCTAGCTTTAATGCGGTTATACCGGAATTGAACCTTAGGAACTGTTTGTCTGTTGGTGGGTCTGTATATCCTACCTCTTTAATAAAACTCCTCATGGCAGACTCAGAACAAGAGATGCTTGGTGCTAACACAAATCATTCTGAGGCCCTCAAAGCTACCCTAGATCAGCAGGAAGTTTCTAGTGCTACCCTAGATGAACAAAAATTTCCTGAGCCCAGCTCTGTTCTAGGAGAGGCCTTCGACACAATCCCACATCAGTGGGAAGTTCCTGGTGCTAACTCAGTTCATACAGAGGCCCTAGGTGAGACCTCAAACATACCAGAAGTTCCTGGTGCTATGCCAGTCCAAGGAGAAGTCTTTGGTGCCATCCTAGACCAACAGGAGACCCTTGGTGTGAGTGGTGATGCTGTTCCAGACCTGCCTATCTTCCTTTCTACTCCTGCAGACTCAGCTGTCATCTATCACGTTCCCTCAGAATGGCCTGTACCCCAGAGTACGGTCTCATATGGGCATGAGACGCAGGATGCCATGCAGATTTTGCCTTTGGGCTTCTCAGGTCATCCTCCTTATTCATCATCAAACTCCGAGAAAAGTTTGGTACCTCCAGCAATGACTGTAAGTAATAAAGAAAATGAGAAGCAGGCTCATATCAACTTTTTGCCAGTTTATGGTCAGAGAGGACTGTACCAGTCTTCACTAGGTGTTGCCCAACTCTCCCAGCCAGGTCATAGCAAATCCATAGGAAGGAGTTCTCAGACCCACATGAACAATACGATGGGTATCAACCCCACACTGGTACCCATGTCACTTGCCAGTACCTCGTCTCCTTCCTACACGACTTTGTTACCTACTTTGGTAAAGAAGAAACGAAAGAGATGTGGAGTCTGTGAGCCCTGTCAGCAGAAGACCAACTGTGGTGAATGTACTTACTGTAAGAACAGGAAGAACAGCCATCAGATCTGTAAGAAGAGGAAATGTGAGGAACTGAAAAAGAAGCCGTCCAGCGTCCTTCCTTGGAAGGTAAGCAAATAGACAAAGGGGTTGGAACACAAGAATTGATTTCACAATTTGCTTCAATATTACATCCTTTTTACCTTGGTGAAATGTTGCCTCATATTTCCGATAAGAATTTGTGAACTTACTAGAAATGTGTCTTGTGCAGTGGTGCATTAGCATATTTTTAGAGTTTGCCCTAGAAAACTAGAACATACTGTTTTCCATGATGAGATTTGACGGAGACATACATAGGGGAATTGTATGAAACGTGGTTAAGATGTACACAGTGCTGCATTTTAGCTAGCTATTTGTCTCTTTTTGGAAGTTACAGATTTAAAAATTAAGAGTGAAACAAATTTATTAACTCCCTACCAGCCTGAGAAGCTGAAGGAATCAAACTTCTTTCCTTTGGTAAAAATAAAATTACACCAGCATAAAACCTGTGAAGGGTGAAACTGCCCTGGAGACATGCTTTTACCTCACATTTTGGCAGACAAATCTCTCCCTTCACTATGTCTCTCACAGGATTGTTGGAATTACATGGTAATCAGAAGGTGAAATGGTTTGCAAATTCTTCCTTGATATACGATTAACTCTTATTATTATAACTTACAGTTTTAAAGTAATAAAAGTATTGATAGGCCTAGAATTTATTTAAAGGATTTTAGGAAGTTAGTTCAAAGCAAACTCTTTGCTTTTCAGACTTTTAAGCTATCTGTGAAATATGCTGTTGTATGATTTTTAGATAATTCACTTGCAGTTGTATTTATTCTGTCCGCACAGAGCAGTATGAGATTACCCAATAAGCAAGGTAAGCATGGGTTTACTTGTGCTTACTTACTAGTCTGAAGTAACTTTCACATTTTTTTTTTTTTACCTCACCAAAGACCATGTGATTATTGTTCACCACAGATTGGTAAAGTAAGCACAAGTAATCCCTTGCTTACCTTGTTTATTGGGTCACCGCTCCTGACTACAAATTCAGGTATAGTCAGTTCGATTGAACTAAGTATTGTGATCTATAATTCACTCACAGTTTTTACTTCATTCTTGGCTGAAATGATCTGTCCAAAAATGCTTTGACTTCCTACAGTACATTGAATTACTTAATACTGCCCTTCTAGCCAAATTTGTTTATTTTCCTTTCAGTTTTTTATTGTGAGTTGAGTGAGCAAGTCATCAGTTTTGTATTCAACAAATCATGCACTTCCTTTCATCTCAGTTGCAATCCCTTCCATGCAACATCACTTAGCTCACTTTCTCCCTGTGATGGTTGTTTCCTTTCCTCCTTCTTTCCCAAGCCTTCTGAATTTTGTCCTTAGGAAAATGCAGCCCTTTTGATCTTAAATGGTTGAAGTTTTATGGTGAGCATGCCTCATTAGTGTTGTTGTCCCACTATATACCTATCTACTGCTTGAGCCGTGAGGGTGAGTTTAGGTCCAGACCTGAAGGCTGAGCAGCAGTCATATAGTCTCGGGTTCTTCCAGTCTCTCTCAGACCATTGGTGGTGGTTGTGTGCCTTCTGGTTTGTTCCAACTGGGCGATGCTGTATAGACTGTCAATCTTTATGAAAGCAGAAGCCTCATCTTTCTCCTGCAGAACTCCTGACCTTGTAGTTACCGGCCCAACCCATAACTCATTACATTACCAAGGCTCCTTCTTTCGGACAAGTAGACCAGTTTTCTTTATATTTTTTGAGTTTTGTACACACTTTCTCTCACTCTATCCAGGGTCTTCTAATGTGATCCCCTTCTGAGCAGTTACTATTAGTTGTTGTTGTTAAGTGTTGTCGAGTTGGTTCCAACTCATAGCTACCCTGTGGGTTTGAGCTACCGACTTTGCAGTTAGCAGTCCAGTGCTTACCTTACAAGCACCACACAAGGACACCCAACCCTGGTAACCATCAAAGAATTTCTTTTAACATAAAAACAATCACTGTTGACTTGACTATAACTCAAAAAGAAATACTTTTGGGTAGACTCAAACCTCTAACTTTAGCAGCAAAGTGTTAACCAGTGTGTACCTCTAAGGGATGACCTAGTTCTCCTGTTGTGGTTGTTGCTGGGTGCACTTGACCCATAGACCCTAGGCACAGCAGAACAAAACACTGTCTTGTCTTGCAACAGCCTCACAATCCTTGCAATGCTTGAGCCCATTGCTGCTGCCACGGCCAGTCCAGTTCTTTGGGGATCTTCTTTTTCACTGACCCTCCACTTTACTAAGCAGGATGTCCTTCTCCAGGGACTGGTTCCTCCTGATAACATGTCCAAAGTATGAAAGACTGTCTCACAATCCTGGTTTCTAAGGAGCATTCTGGCTGTACTTCTTCCAACACAGATTTGTTCTTCTGGCAGTCCTTGGTACTTTCAGTATTGTTCTCCAACACCATCACTCAAATGCATCAATTCTTATGTATTCTTCTTTATTCACTGTCCAACTTTCTCATGCATGTGAGGCTGTTGAAAATACCCTGGGGCTTGGATCAGGTGCACCTTAGTCCTCAAAGTGACATCTTTGTTCTTGAACACTTTAAAGAGGTCTTATGCAGCAGATTTGCCTAATGCAAAATGCCTCTTGATTTCTGGATTGCTGCTTCCATGACTGTTAACAGTGGATCCAAGTAAAATGAAGTCTTTGACAAATTCATTATTTACATTTCCTGGTATGGTGCTGTAGGATAAGCACTGGACTGAGAATTACAAGGTCAGCAGTTCAAACCCACCACCCTCTCCTTGGAAACCCTATACAGGGTCACTATGAGTTGGAATCTACTTAACAACACATTACAACAACAGCAACAACAAATAACTAAGACAGCTGCCAATCGTGGTTCTCTATTTCCATCATTTCTTCTAAATCTATTGAGTTTTAATCTCAAAGAAAGTTATTGGTTTAACTCTTTCAATATGAACTAATGGATTCTTACAGTCAATTGGTCATAATTAGTTATTATCTTAATTTTGATGCTCAGATTGTCCCCGAGTTTAGCCAGGGAGCTCACTTTGTGTTTATGGTTGCATGTCTATCCTTCTATTGTTTTGCTGGCACAAGATGGTGTAGGTTTAATCTAGTTTCAGCTTTGCCCAGTCCAGAATTCAGCTACTTAACCAAGGAAACTTGGTTCCTTTTAGTGGAATATGGTATTTCAAAACCAAGATCTTGCTGATAGGTACAGTCATTATTACTGTAATGTCAGTATTGTGACCAAAAGTTACTTAAATTCTCTCTCTGTGTCTGTCATACACACGCACACACACAGTGTACACGCTTGTCTGTAGTTCTGTTGTTCATTTGAAATCAAGTTTTAGCTCATTTTTTTATGCTTTTATTCTATGGTATGAGGGTGAGTCAAAAATCATCCCAACTCTAGCTGTAGAATTTATTTTAATCAACTTTTAGAAAAGACAAACACATTTTTCGACATAATTTCCTGCTTTTCAGTACTTTGTCCATCTGTCAACAAGCTTTTGTATTCCCTTCTTAAAAATGTTTTAGACTGAGTTTGTGAGCCATGAATGCACCACTGTCTTCACTTCATCAGAGGTGAATCTTTGTCCTCAGGGGAACAAACAGGTAAAAGTCCAGTGGAGCAAAATCAGGACAATAGGGGAGATGCTTAACACCTCAAAATGAAGTTTTTACAAAATGTCAAAATTATATTCAGAGTTGAATGGACATGCGTCCATTCATGCAAGATCACAAAGCCCTTGGATAGCAGTCCTCTCTGTTTAATCTGAAGTTCAGGCTTCAGTTCTTCAGTGAGCATCTCATTGTAATGAGCGCTGTTGACTGCTGAACCTTTTTCCTGATAGTGCACTAATACTGGCCCTGGAGAATCCCAGAAAACTGTAGGCATCAATTTTCCAGCCAATGGTGTGGCACCATAGGATAAGCCCTCGACCTCTAAGTCAGCTTGAACCACAAGGTTGGCGGTTCCAACTAACCGGCCGATTCTTAGAAACCCTATATAGGATCATTATGGGTCAGAACCAACTCCATGGCGCTTAACAACAACTCTTTGGCGCTTTAGGATAAAACACTGGACCACAAGGTCAGTTTGAAAAGCAGACTTAGTGGCTCAAACTCACCAGCTGCTCCTTCTAAATCCTATACATCTTCACTATCAACCAGACACCACTTGACTACTTGACGACACTTAACAACAACACTCTTTAGAGTTGTTGACTAGTCTGCACTTAAAAGTTTTATTTTTGTCGTTGTTTGGTGCCATTGAGTCAATTCTGACTTCGAGCATCCCTGTACGGGGTTTCCAAGGAGTGACCTATGGGCTTGAACCACAAACCTTGTGGTTAGCAGCCCAGTGCTTATCTACAGCGTCAAACCAGGGTGATGTCTTCAATTATATTGCATATCTCTAGTTAGATGATTTTGATATATCATCACGTATTAGTTAGAACTGTTTATGAGCTGGTCTTTCCAAGGTGAAATCATCTTTCTTGTATGGACCTTAGTTAACGTTGATGTTTCTTCCAAAATGATTAAAGGGTTATTTATTATGTGCTTGGTTAAAGAGCAGTATTCTAGATAATTCAAAGTGAGCTGTGTTTATCATCATGTTATCTTCTCAGCTAATGCATGTTTTACCGAGAAAAATAGTAACACATAAGTTGTGTTCAAAAGTAAAATATTACTAAATATTATGATTCAGTTGAACTGTCCACTTTCTTGTGGGTGGCTTCTACTACATGATCACAGTTCAGTTCCAGAGATGGCATCTCAGAGTTGGTTGACACTCAGCTTATTTCATTCTTTTATTTGGTGGGGCTGGGCTTGGGGCTAGCCTCTTTTAGACATATGGAACAAATTCTTCTACCAGTTCCTTCAATTGAAGGCAAATGTTATATGTATTTAAATATGCTTTTTAGGAATCTCTTTGAGTCCCTACTGAGACTTCAGTAGCATAACTCACCACATAGCTAGTCATAGAAACCGGCCTTTGTGGTCTGTTGTTAAGTGCCAGGGAGTCTGTTCTGACTCATAGAGATCCTGTATAGCGTTGCTGA